TATAGTGGCCCGATCCGAACAATTTTTTCGGAGATTGTAGCGCAGTCTTGGAAAATAATACATCACAAATTTCGTGCAGATATCTCGTTAAGGAAAAAAGTTTTCCATACAAAAACTTGATTTTGATCGATCAATTTGTATGGCAGTAATATGCTACAGTGGTCCGATCTAAACAATTTCCTTAGAGATTGTATCGTTACCTTAAAAAGTAATTCGAGCCAAATTTCGAGAAGATATCTCATTAAATAAAAAAAAGTTTTCCATACAAGGACAAAAACAGAAGGACTTGGGTAACAAACTTAATATACCCTTTTCAGGGTATAAAAATTATTTACACTTTTTCTCTTACCTGTGCGCAACGAAAGGAACCTTCGCGATTCCATAACTGTATCAACTGCTTGCCTTGTTCGTCCGTGTGTCTCATCCATGGTTCACGATTATCTGGCACATCTGTTTGGAAAGCAAATAACAGTAGTGGTAACACCATCTTTACAGTTTCTTTCCACTTGTTCTTGTTTTGTAAAAGTTCACGTTTGAAGATTAAAGCTGTCGCATAAATTAGCATCTGACCGCGATAATGATTTAAAAAGAGATTAACCAATTCACGTTGGGCGCACAATTTATCAGACAACTGTGTGACTTTGAAAAGATATTGATCTAAATTGAAAAGTAAATTCTCGGTCTCCGTTACTCCACCAGTTGCAGAAGCGGCCGTTAATGTGAAACTGATGTTTACTTGTCGTTCTAGGCAAATGATCATTAACAACCAAAACTCCCAATCTTTTTTCGTGTTTGGCATCTGTTCATATTTGTTCAGCACTAACCATACGATATTATACCATTCGCTGCTGCTGGAGAAATTATCATGCTGGTTCATTTCAAAATTGTATACATATTTGAAGGCGTCCAACACTTTATTTTGTTCAATATAATTGCGCATAAGTCGCACACGCAATTGCACATCATTTGGACGAGCGCTGATTTCTTTCTGTATTAAATCCTCAACTTGATTAGTTTCCAGATTCTCTTTGTTCATCAATTTCAAGCGCAATGAGAATACTGCATCGTCTTGCACCTTCTCCGACTCAGCTAAATCACACCAATATTTGGCTTTGCTCACGTTCAAGTTTTTATCATCCAACAATAGTTGACAAACATCGGCCAAAACATCGGGTTGTTTTGAATTCAGTTGTAAGGAACGTTGAAAAGACTGTAAAGCCTTTTCTGGTTTCTTAAGGCGTTGATAACATTGACCAAGTAATTTATGCGCCTGATCATTGTCTTCTTTTACGTTGAGGTAGGAGCAGAGATATTGTTCTGCCGTAGAATATTCGTTGATTTTGTAATAAAGTTTGGCGATGATAAAACTTCGTAACTGCCTCTAAAATTATAATAATTCTAATTTTAATAAACAAATCATGATTATACATTTTAACCTGACCTTAGCTTACAACAAGCAAACAGCCAAAATTCCAATAGCATCCATATAACTTATTGGATACCACTTTATTAGGCTACTACAAATTACATTTTGATCTTAACAACTTATATGAAAGTTTTTGTTTTTGATTGTTTTATGATTGAAAAAATGGGTTTCTTTCCTTAATTTAGCAAACCCTGTTAAAAAGAACCGCCGAAATTTTTACATCGAATCAACTCTGCGTTGTTTAAAATACAACGATCAATAATCGGCTAATAACGAATATTACCAAAAGAGAAGTATAAAGGGCACATAACCTCATTTTACATCAAATCTTTGCTAGATTTAAATATAAATTAATTTGAGTAAATAACCCTAATAATATATTAGTTTGCACATGCAATAACGATTTCAGCTATAAGCCCTTACAAATATTTTGGCAACGCCGGTTGGTTGGAAGCACACAACTAAATGCACCTACAAATTGGCGCCGCATTGTTGCGCCGCAAAATAAATGCATTAACATGAAGACATAAAATTATATTGGCTTTGCACATTTTAATTAGATTATGTAATATAAACATAAATATATCTAATCTGTTGTCATACTAGCATGGCCTTGCTTTAACACATACCTCAGATTCGGAACGCAACTTCGATAGTGCAGTTCGCACATGGGCATCCACTTCTTTTTTAGTTTTGTACATTTTTTGCACACACGAATAACTAGGAATCAACAAATCGTCACTAGTTTTTTTTTCTTCCGATAATTACTTTCTTTTAATCCAGTCACTTTTATATTATATTCTTTTTTCGCAAAGCAATTTTTCCACTTCGTACTCTCTAATTTTCGATTATTCACACTTTTGTAGCAAACGCACTGATTTTCAATTTTATCCGTCATAAAACGTTGCTGGGATAAAAACAAAATAATTTTTTGCTTTATTTTATGCTATTATACTCTCACTGACAAATTTTCCCATGTTCGGCGCTTGGAAAAAATTTTGCAAGTGGCGGCGTTTCAACACTTTCGGCATCTTTCCATCGCGTCAGAAAAACGGGCAGTTGCTAGCTTTATTGGATTTGACATTTACTCGAACCTCACAAATAGATGCCGCCAGCGACATTAATAAAGGACATGAATTAAAATTATGAAATGTTAATTTAATATGGCAAAATCAATTATTTCGTTACCAATGTTAAGAAAAAATTGTCATTTAGCCAATTAAATGCAATATAATGAGTATAAATTGATCAAGGATAAAATATCAACAAACATATATATGGGTGATATTAGAATATAAGTAAAAAATGAGCACATTCAAGCAGTTGCATGTATGCATAGCATCAAATTTTTTACTGGGTTGTAATTCTTAATTGTATACATTTCACTAATATGAGCAATTTTTCATTTCACAATTAAATTAAATTTCATTTACACAGAGTTACCGTATCCTATGAATGTCATTGCCATGGTTTTAATCTAGTCGTCTTATTTGAATTGAGAAGCGCAAGAATTCAAATATGTATTTATTGTTTTAATTGGAAATATATATACTGCTTAAATACACAAAATCTTGAAATTTGGCGTTTTAATATATCGAATTGAATAAATAAATTTATTAACAAATGTTGGCAGCTTTTATTAGTGGTGAAATGTCTGTCTATATAGAGAACGACAGCTAACTTCACGCATACTTCACCATCTTCCTTTTCCGTGTTAGCTGTGAAAGAAGAAACATGCCGGTGGGTGTCAAATTCCATAAAAATTTACGAATTAGAGCCTTTTAGTTATTAAGAGGACATTTATTTTGCATTGGGACGAAAGTTCAAGTCTGTGTACAAGTGAAAAGAGTTTTTTTTACTGGAATAAAAGGCCAGAAATTCCATAAAGTGCTTGTGTAAATTGCGACAAATGTCTGAAGGTAGTAAAATGAAAGACTGCATGCGCTGGTGTATCGCGTTATCATGGCTAAAAAGAATTAAACCAAAAATGAACACGCTAATTCGATGAATATGCTGAGTTAATAAATTACTATATTTGTTTGTTTATATTATGACAATGAAAAAAAAGCGATAATTATAAACTAGTAATACTGAAAACTAGTGATAAACATAACCTAAAAAAGCTTTGCAATTTAGTGCCACACAAACTAAGTTTTCGATTCTAATCTTATTGTGTTTGCTCGTATTTGCAGCTAGCAAAAGATTTACTGCACCCATTGCCCGCTGAAGAGAAGCGTAAGCACAAGCTGAAGCGCCTGGTGCAACATCCCAATTCCTACTTCATGGACGTTAAGTGCCCCGGCTGCTACAGAATTACCACAGTTTTCAGTCATGCACAAGGCGTCGTTGTATGTGCGGGATGTGCCACAATTCTATGCCAACCCACAGGAGGACGTGCTAAACTTACTGAGGGTATGTTTCGCTTTTCTCTAATTCCGTATGTTCATTAATTAATAATGTTTTCAAATTTTACAGGTTGTTCTTTCAGAAGGAAGCCACAGTAAAGTAATGAGATGTCAGCGCGATTATTAATTTTTTTAATAAACAAAGAATAAAAAGATACAACCAAACAAGAGCATTCAACTATTTTCTTTACATTTAAACATTACAAAGTGTGGTTCAGCTCCGTTGGAAATAACTGCGATGTTCAAATGATTTTAATGAATGAAGTGAATTGTTTGTAAAAATGGTAAAATGAACTTGGAGATCAAATGCATATTAATTGTATTTGGTGTAAATACATGTGTCATTTAACTCAATAAACAATGGATTTTTTTCTATGGCTCACCTTGGATGAGAAACATTCGCGACAGCATTTAAATTTGAAATGTATGAAAATTGTAATCTAATGATAGTGTGTGCAGTTGTTCAAGGGCGAAATATAATTATTACTATTTTGATCAGGCTAAGATATTTTAACTAAACAGTTTTGACCTTGGCAGTAATATTCTTAAAATGGCACGATTACGATTTCTTGTAAAAGTAATGCACATCTTTTTCAATTAAAATATATTTGCAATTACACTGTATGCGTTGAAAACCAAAATTTAAATTTATTGTGCGTTTTTTTAAGAAAATAAATGTCCTTTAAAAATTACTTGGCACAATCACAGTTCTACGAGATTTGTATGTTTACATTTATGACGATAGAAATGAGTAATTTATTATTTTGCGTTAAGCTTGCCGAAGGCCGCGCTTCAAAAAAATAAGCCTGGTCGGTCCAACACTAGGGTGTCCATATGTTTTTTGCGTCGAACGTAACTGCACACATATCTATAGAAAAATGTGTACAAAGTGTCTAAAACATAGCGTGTATTACTTTTACAATTTTTAAACATTACAAATATCTTGAAAATTATAAGTAAGGCGCGTATATGTATACATTTTTTAATCCAGAGGACCACCCCTATCCTTCCATACCATCAGACCGCGGCGCCAAAGTAATCGTAATTTTTAAAATATTAAAAAAGTAAATTGAGTATTTTTATAAAAAAAGTTGAATTCTATTATCTCAGATCAGGACTTTCTTTGTCCCGTATATTAGGTTTTGCTTCTGATTGGGCCATTTAAACTCCAAAACGACATAAATACTTGAGTTCATTATTGGTAAATATATTTTTTAAGTAGATTATGGGGCATTCAAGATACGAAGATTATTTTCTATAGTTAATAAACACGTTTTAATTTACTAGTTTTAGAAATATGACAAATAAAGCATTTGCTTTCGATAAGTTGTATATTATATAATATGTGTTTATTAGGATCTGTTAGGGCAATTTTTAAAAAAATTATTTGTTGCATTTACTATTTGGCTAATTCGGAGCGACGTCAAAAACAAAATTGAAAATTTTAAAACGAAAAGTGTATCGGAATTGGAATTTTAAAATTGAGTTAACATTGGGTACATATACTGTCGAAAAAATCTATTTTTGGTATATGATTGAAGATTTTTCATATACATATATATATTTTCTTCAATTATGATGAATCTTGCAGCTCGTTTTTTTTACCATAAAATCCTTAAACCGTTCGGAGTCAGCTTTAAATTTGTTTTTTAATTTTAAAATAAAAGGGAATAAAACATGAATTAAAGAGAGTTCTTAATGTTTATTGTTGTATTGAACAGACAAAAATACACATATATTTTTATTATGATTTTAAAACAACAATTTTTAAAAGGGAATCCTTAATACGGGATTAAAAAAATAGAATAATACCAAATAACGAGGATATGAATTAAAAATTATTTAGTTAAAAAAAAATTAATACGAAAAACCGGATTAAAAATTTAATTTTACTATATACTAGGTTGAAAAAATAATAATCCTAAGCATATAATTAATTATAAATTATAAAATTCACAACCCTAATGGTTTTAACTCAAGATGTCAAAAATGAGTATTTTGAGTGAAAACTGAATGCTAATAGAAGGTAAATTATGTAGTGAAAAAACATCAAAATGTAACAAGAAATTCATAAGAATTTATTTGTAATCATGGATTAGAAAATATTTTCATAAGAAGAATCAAGTTCTCAAGTAACATTTCCTTATATAATTGAACTATGATTTTTATATACAGACAAAATTAGATAAATACAAAATATATAATAAAGGTATCATTTCACAGTACAAACATGAGCAAATCTGTTTTGAATTATTCATACTCGTCAAGTCTATTATACATTAATTCGCTACATTTGCATTCTAATAGAGTTGCCAGCGGCCCAGAGTATTTTTAATAAGAATGTTTAACGATTTTATATATTTATATAAGTTAGCATTCATTATTATTAATAATAGTCAGCTACCTACCTAATAATAGCTACCTACGTTAGCATAACCGTTTTGGAACACAGAAGAATATTATTACTAAATAAGTTTTAATACTGCTGTAAGTTTAAAATAAAGTATACTATTATTGTAGTGAAAATTTAATAAATATTTCCCTTGAATTGTAAAAACTTAAAAGTATTGCTATAAATCAAATTCCTGAAGTGGGTAAATTTTTACCAATAGCTTGCAATTGATTTACAAATTTAGTCATGTAAAAAGTGCTTATGGTAGCACTGTCTATCCGAAGTCAGCCGTTTCCTGTCGCTTGCTGGCAAATCAAATTTATCACATCCAATTAGTTCGTGTTGGTGTTATAGAAAGATAAATTTTAAATTGCTGTCTACCAAAGTAAGTAAAAAGTGAAAGATATTTTATCTTTTAATTGAAAATCATCTTTAGTTAGAGAAACAAATAAATATAGCACAAAAATTTGTGAAAAAACAGCAAGTGTAATATTTTAGTTTGTGGAATATTTGCAAAATTTGAATTATAACGTTTTTTCCACCAAATTTTTTTAATTGTCTTTAGCTGAACACCTGAAAAAATGGCTACTTATCTCCAACCGAATTGTGAAAATGAAAGTCAATTACTAAATACCAATATGGAAACTATTTCGGAAGAATTGAGTTCATTGCTTATTGGTGGCGAATTAGATTCTCTTTGTGCAATTGGATTTACTGCAACAACAAAATGTCCTGACGTGGTCGAACTGCCGGTGCCTTACGTAGATTCTTGTGTTACACATTTGAGTAATAACTATTTGAAAGATGAAAGTTGTGGAAATATGACTGGAGCAGTTGCAAAAGCTCCAGATAATTCTCAAACGATGAACACTAGAGAGGCACACATGTTGCAGTTATATCGTCAATACAACCAACTTCAAAATCAGCAAATGCAACACAATAACAGAATACAGCAACAGCGTTTTAATCTTGCATCAAATTTATATGAAGCCTCATCCACACCTCACGCAGTTGCAACAGCACAGCTTCAATCTGCAATAACCCATGGAACTTCTGGGTTGAATGGTGGCGTAAATTGCAATTACAGTTCATTACCAACTCTATCTGAGCGAATTCCACAAATCTGCTCTTTCAAAGCCACCGATTTAAATGATGTAGTATCGAATAAAGCTTCTACAGCGCCTAAATTCGAATTTCACTTTCTACGTAACCAAAATTCCAATACACTTCACCCGAACGCCAGTGCAGTGCCACTTATTTCTAGCGCTGTTTTCAATGAGGGCGAAACTAATTTCTATCGTTCTGGAAGCCGCAATAATAATGGAACTCTCAACAAAGTAAACGGCGTTGGTCAACGTAGATTTTCAAAATACAACGACATTTCGAAGGAGCAAGAAATTAATTATGACAAAATTGTAGTCGATTTATCTGTACTTGGCCTACCATTGGATAAGTATGTTTTAGTAAAATGGTTTTTTTTTTCTTATTTCTTTCTTAACATTTTAAATATTTTATGAATGTGTCGTCCATTTATTGTAGCAAGGAGCCCAACCCAGTCTTGCGTCTATTTGGTTTACTTCGAAAAATGCATTATTATTTAAACGACATTTTACCTTTAAATGCGTTTGATGCCGACATAGAATTGCATGCAGGTAAAATGCAAACAGATGTACAGACGAAGTGTTCTATGCCTTGTACCATGAATGTGCAATATCAAGTAAAACAGGCAGCACGAAAATGCACGATTTTTCTGTGTGAAATGCAACGCATTTTGAACGCCAACAAAATGTATAGCATGGAGTTGTATTTGGATTGTGAACAATCCTTAAATAAGTTGCGCAACTTCTTAACACAATTTGAGACATTTAAGCGTACTGAAATGGAGCATAAACGTGGACAATTTGTCACCGAACAAGCACGCAGTAAGTCTAGCAGCGCATATTGTATAACCTAAGCATGTTTTATAATTTTTGTTTCTATGTTAGCTCAAACACAGATGCTGGAAAAACTCATACTGCAGCTCAATGAGCAAATACGCGAGTCACACATCTATGTGCATGCCTTCAATTGGGCAGTGGAGCGCACAAAGCGTCCAACAATATATAATACAGGAATGAAGCATGAAATAGTCACACCAAATAACAACGAATGCTTAGTTTATGGAGAGGCAGCAGTAGCCACTGCATTTACTAACCGTGATGTAGTGGGAACTACACATACAATGAGCGTAGCCAATGGTGACATTGAACAGCATACCACTGCCGTAGGCGAAACCTATTTAAGCACTGATGCCGGTGCTGTTACTAACATTTTGAAACTCTTACTGATCGATGAACCACTCGACACATTGGCGCCGTTTGAAAGAGTAGTGTAATTTGATATGTACATTTGTGTGCAAAAAGTTTACATGTCATAAATTTTGTAACTAATAATTTTTAAATTTAATTTAGACATTTATAATATAATTTTTTAGCCATATTTATGTTTTAATTACACGTAAACTTATACATCAAAATTTGTATGATAATTTTTATTCAATTCTACATTTATTTACATACAAATTTTCAAATACACTTTTGTGTCGTAATTTGTTATATGTTTTCAATTTTATATTCCAAATTCTTTAATTTTAGTACAAAATTTTAATTAGTTATACTTTAATTCTACAGACTTATTATTTGATTTTATTAAAATTTTTAAAGATATCAAATTTTCTAATTAGTTATATGTCTATATTGTTAAATAATTATTTCATATTCGAGCTGAGTTGTATTAGTTTTTGCTTTTAATGATAACAATTTAAAAATTAAATATAGCTTCTTGCTAGTTTTTTATTTTAAATTTAATTTAACAAACTTTATTTAATTGAGTTTATATAATATTTGAAATAGATATTTACTTAAAATATGACAATTTATTAGATTTTTGTTATATATTACATAGTCTGATATCTTATAAAATTTTTTCCAATAATATTAGTAAAATTATATATAATAAAATTAATTATTATAAAAATAAAATTAGTAAACTGTAACTGTTCTTTAACCCAATATTATTTTTAATTATTAATTAGTTTCTTTAACTCTTTTGCTTAAAATTGCATATAATTTGCCTAATTTTAACTTAATGTGCTTATATATTTTTTTAACATTTTCATTCAAAATCAGTTTATATGGATTTATGTATTAACATATGCATACATAATTAGTTATATATTAATAGTCTGATTGTATATAAATATAATAATTTTTTTTTTGTAATTTTACCCCTAATTATTTTTGATTTAGACATAAATACTATAATTTAGGTGAATAATAAATTAGAAATAAAATAATTTTTTTTTGTTTGTAATTTTAGCCCCAATTATTTTAGTTTAATCATAAATACTTTTATTGAGATGAACAAAAAACACTAACATTGTTCATTTGTTGATTGTATATAGAAAATATGAAATCAGTACAACTTTAGTTTTACATATTTTTAAATTGAATGATTTGAAGACTAAATACCAGCTTTCTTTGGGTGATTAATAAAAATAAAAATGTTTGTCAATTTGTCATATTAAAACAATCTTATTAATTTTATTCACATTTTTATATTATTAAATTTTATTACTTAATTAACATGAAATTTTACATATGTACATATATTATAAGTCTGATTGTATATAAATGTAATTATATTATATTATTTTTTTTTTAAGTTTTAATAGTATTAGAGAGCGCATTTTTTTAAGAAACGTTTTTAAAACTAAATTAATAAAATATCACACAATAATTGCTCTGCGTAAATTAGTACAAGCAGAAGCAAATTAAATTTGTGCACAATATAAATATTTATATAAGAAATGAGTTAGAAATTGTATTTTTAAATATTTGTATATACATTTTTTTTATTTAAAGTCAAACATATATGAATTATTACATTAGTATGGCAATTAGCCAAATTGAATATTTTTTTGTGATTCCAGTTCAAATTACCTTAGCCTTCATGTTCTATAAATGTTTTTCAAACGTTTTTCGCTCAAAGAAAATTATTATTTTCTCATTTTATTCATATAAATATATTGTAATTATCGAAAATTTTTGCACACATACATTTACATATGCATACAGAGTTACTAACTCATCATATTTTAAAGCAAACCAGAAATGTGAACTTTTTGTGCTTCTAATTTTAAATTTATTATAGCGCGTTATCTGTATAACCGGTTTTGATTGATTAATTATTTTTATACCTAAAATCAAATGAATTTCTACTTTCTTCTTCGTTGTTATTTTATTTAATTGTAAAAAAATCTTGAAATCTGTTATGAAATAAATGAAATTAAGCAAACATTATTTTGTCTATTCATTTTCTGCTTTATTGCTGTTGTATTTACATGCATAAAAATATTAATCACTTCATAATTATTATAATACTACTTCACTCGGGCAAGAAAAGATCATCGTATGCCCATTCATTAAACACTTTTTCCATGTAATTATGTACTATCAATGCAAAAGTCTCTTGTAAATTCAAACGCATTCCTTCGAAAATTTCATCCGCATTGGCATTGAGGAAATCGTTCGCCGTTGCGCTCAATTCCGGGTTGCCATTGTAGAGTCCGTCCAATTGGTAATGTACATTTTTCGGTTTCGACATAACCAATGATACATTTTTAATTACTAAGTAATTCTTGCCGCCCTTCTGCACCAATTTGGCGTCTATTTTGCAAGTTAGGTTTATATCAGCTGGAATTTTAAGCAAAAATTATACATACATATATATACATATAATTACAAATAATTTTTTTTCTTAAATTTTTCTACATACATAGCTCTATTACACAATTGCCTTTGCCTTTGAAATTCACGCCAAGAATTTTGCCTTCGCCTTCATAGGCACCGCTAAACCTTGCTTTCGGGACGGTGCATGACAGTGATAACGGACTGGTGACATCGCGTGTAAAGCCGCTGCGGTAAGTAAAGCGGTAGTTTATTTAAATATTGTACATAGTAATTTGAATAAAATATGTTTTTTTTTTTAGGTGACAAGTGTATGCTGTGCGTTTTGCTTAGTCCAGGCATTGCTGCAGGCAGTCAAAACATGCGCTGACACTTGATATTTCTTGCTTAGCACTTACTCGATTTTGATGTTTTGTGCATTCTTCAAACCATGTATGTCAACATCTGTGAAGGACAAGCGTACATTTATGAGACCATTTGGATTTGGCGGCAATATAAGCGACTTAATATGCAATGGATCGAAGGGCGGGATATGCAGTATACGCACACCAGTTTCGGCGTACTTTTGTAGCAGTTCGTTGGTAATCTTTGTGTTGCACACCGAATCACCGAAGCGACAGCGCTCAAAGCCAACTGCTGTTGGAGAAATTGAAGTGTTTTAAGGACTTAAAAAATTAAAAAAAAAGCCCACCTCTTTGCGCCATTGCTGATTGCATGCAAAGTACAACACATGCAAATAACGGTGCCCAGCTAATTCGTGACATCCTGCTTGTCTCTACTTTACTGCCGAATTATTTTCGTTTGAAGACAATTACGTTACGGAAATCTGGTGACTTGTGACTTGTTCAGTTAATGAATTTACAATGCGTTGCAGTATTTAACTTTTATATGCATTTCGTTTTGATTTTGAAACTGCGATTCGTTTTAATTAAACAAAAACAAGTTCAGCAGATCAGGGGCTCTTTCACTTAATAGAACAAGGAGTTGTGCATGTTAATGAATTAACGAAGAAACTTGTCAACATGATAATATCTGCGATGACAATTTGATCTCAAGTACATAAAGGCCTACAGGGGTTATTGCAGTTTTTATTCGCGCAATCAGGAACGTGCTAACATAATGTATGTATGTTTGTTTGTTTGAGAAATATATTTGTTACAAGATCATAAATTTTATACTTTCTTCATATATAAAAAGTAGCACATGTATATGTGCATTTATGTACCATTTACGTATGAATGGTATATGTATGTGTATTTATATAAAACCAATAATCGAGTCGATATGTAAATACATACATACATACACATTTATGGTAGTAATCCCTATATGCATATTGCAATATTTAGACACTTTTGTGCAAATATTTATTTAAAGCCTGTACAATAATGTGTACAACAAAGATGCTCATATATAAAAACAAATCAATTTATGTAATGTATGTATGTATGTATGCTGTAGAAGCAGTGTGTCAATGGCTTGCAAACGCTTCTAATTATAAATTTAATTTATCTTATATATACTTGTATCTTTTTTAAAATCCAGTTTCAAAATTTGACTAAAAAATTGTATTTGGCTAAATTAAGAGTTGTTTTAGATCACATTTGTGCATACAGTTAATTTGAAAAAAGGAAAGGGAGGGCTAAGCTCGATTGTAACCGAACATTTCATACTCTTGCAACTTGCAAGGGTCAAAGTCGGGAAAACACCTTCAGGTGTTGGCAAAATTTTATATTAAGAAATGTAGCGAAAATTTTCAACTTCATTATTCGACGAAATGGTGAATGGATCAAGTTAGGTATCTTATTCATTAATATTGAAGGTGATAGACTCCCTTGGTTTTATTATTATATTTTACTTCCCGACAGCGAAGACTAAACTAAAATCATTAAGGGCATAGAAATTGAAGGGCTGATTGCATTAATTTTTGACATTGCTCAGGTATACTTGAAAGCTTATTTTCAAGCAATTTTATAAACACATATATAAATAAAAACATATATATCAGGAAAGAGTTCTCTACGAATGTAAATTATATATCTCTTGAATTTACTTTTTTCGCAAGATCTTAGTTCAATATACCATATTCATTAGTGCTTGATTTGTATAATGGAAAGTCAAGAAATCAGATGGAATTTATGTTTGTGTTATATGGCAAGTAGGCGTGGTTGTAATCCGATTTCACCCATTTTTGCTTTGTAACATAGGCATGTCAGGATAATATTATGTATGAGATTTGGTCAAGCAGAACTCGAGATATGGGTTTTCATTTAAATGTTGGCGGTGCTACGCCCATTTTCCAATTTTTGTAATAGCTCCTATAAAGCTTAATTGTACCATTTTATGTGTAAAATTCAAAGTCTCTGACTTGTTTATTGAATAAGTTATCGCAGTTTTAGAACTTTTAATCAAAACCGTTATATGGGGAGTGGGCAAGTTTCAGCCGTTTTCATATCGTCGGTAGAGATGCTAAAAAGATTTGTCCTGAGTGAATTTGGTTAGTATGAATTTAGTGGTTTAGGAGATATGCATATTGAACCTATTAGAGGGCGGGATCACGCCCACTTTTTAAAATATATTTAAACTGTAGATGCCCCTCCCTAAGATGATCCTGTATACCAAATAACAGTCTTGTATCTTATTGTGGAGCTTTGTTATGTCTATTTATTAGTTCACGATGAATAACGTTTTGTGGGTGTGGCAGTGGTCCGATTAGGCCCATTTACGAACTCGTCCTCAATTTTTTGCCAAAGAACACGTTGTACGCGTTTTATTACGATAACTGAATTTTTACTTATGTTACAGCTTGCACGAACGGACAGACAGACAGTCACTTAGAGTTCAACTCGTTTCATCACCCTGTTCATTTGTATATACATAATTCCATATCTATCTCGAATAGTTTTAGGTGAACAAAACTTTTATACTACACAGAGTATAATAGTTTTGTTGTGGCGAGAGTATAAAAATGTTGCGTTAAAATTCATCATGAATTATTTGAGGAATTAGAATGAATTACAATCAAATTTGGTACCCTACAAGTATTAACTTATATTATTAATTATAGACGCATTTTATTTCATTACTAGGTTTTGCTTTTTCGAAATATTTATATTATATAAAATCAAGCTAATTAATTGAAATGAGATATTGACCAACTGAAACGCTTGTCAGATGGAAAGTCAAAATGGATGGAAATCACTATATGGTGTATATTGGGGCTAGCTGATTGCATTGCCTTTTGGTATTCCTTAAGTATATTCGACAACATATTTCGACTCAATTTTATATGCATAACTCACACATTGACCGCTACATTCGGTACAGACTCTGTTAGAATAACGAAAATCATTATATACCATATAACACATGGTTTGTGGGGTTATTCGTAAACCAATTTAATATTGTACTTTTTGGCAATAAACTCTGATCCATAAAGTATTGAACGTTCACTTAATTTTGCTAAGATATCTTACATATACCTTACCGATATATACGGCAATCGAACATATTTACCCGATTTTATCCAGTTTTGGCATTACGACATACCATTATAAGATAAAGATGCTCTCTGAGTTTCATTAAGATACCACACTGATTGACCAATATACATTTGGGTGCTGGGGCATAAAGGGTTAGCCGACAATGTTGTTTTATTGGCAGCAAGCAAAGCTGCTAATGGAGGTTTACAACCTAATATGGTTTAAAAACATGATAAACCTTTCCAAAGACAAGTTCCGTCTATTAGTCTCATTCTACAACGGGGCACTGCAGGCTCATCTGTTCATGTACCATAGAAAATGAGAAATTTAATTCTTCTGAAATATTTCTTTAGTGAGTTAGTATTTTCAAAGAAATCGTTGTTTGAGCAGAGAGGGTTATCACCCGATTTGACTTATTTTCAGAGCGTGGGAGGAGGTGCTAAAAATATGCCGTCTCAATGAACCCCCATGAGATTTACAACCTTGGTAAACCGCTATAACCAAACTTTTCCTGGAGTGAGTTTTTGTCTATAATACATAAGCGAGACGGAACGGCTGAAACTTTTGGAAATTAAAAATTTTAGTATTTTCCGCCATTTTGCTTTGACTGTAATGGCGCAAGAAGTCGAACCTACTTAACTCAATTTATATTTCGACAAAGATTTGTAAGTATTCTCTCAAAAACTGTACGCAGATATCAAAATAACACATGCACAACTTAATATACTAGATTTCTTAATTTTTATTCCGAAAAGTATTTATCATAAGGATATTTGCTAAAAACACTATCTATCACGCTTGTGAAGATTTGGGAAAAGGCGTTTGTAAAAGTCGCCCGCACTTCTTCATAAATCTCTTTCCAGTTCTCATTCAAAAAGGAGTTCATTGTGTCACCCAGTTGCTTGTCACCATTGAAAAGATTACCAAAATTGAAAATCATTCTTGATGGATCCACACTCAAACGCGCCGACTTCACATTCATATGGACGCCGTCCGGTTTTGACACTGGAGTGCCAGCAAACTGAATTCGAATTTTAGAGTTAACTGCAGGAAAATGAGATGAGATGTGATACAAATTTATTTGGAATATTTTTTTTTATCAAATACGAGTAACTTACGCATTGTAATATTGCTCGTGCCTGTACCAGTGATGGGCAGTATTAATACGCGTCCCTTGATTGAGTAATCACCGGCCAAACTGAGAATGGGAGCAGAAAAAAGAAGTTCGTGTTTGGTGGTCAAATCCCTGCCGAAGCCCCTGGAAAACTAATTAATGTAGATTTATTGTGAATATTGCATAAACTTATTGTCTTACTTCAAGTCAATCATTTTTACTGCACTAAAACCGTATAAATCATTATTGGTGAATGTTAGGTCAATATTAACGGGACTTTCGGCGCCTTGTTTCATAACAATTTTGGCAATTCTCAGTGGTTCCGTCTTAGCTAAATTAAGCGACGCAAAACCTAAATGATTAGATATGTGTGTTTAATTTACATGTACCGTTGGAAAGTACTCGTATGTACAAACCTTGGGATTTTTCTCGCATCAAGTATTCAATAGTGCTCATTATGCAAGCTTTGTCGCCATATTTGCATGCTTTGGGATCCTCAGCTGAAATGAAAAAATTGTTTAGACTTTACGCACAGCATTTTAATTGCCTACCATAGGAAGGATTAGGACTTATATACAATACATTTAATCTGATATTTTTTCACCAGAACCTTATTTGAATATGTAAAATATGTATGTACATATGTAAAGCAATTAGTAGCTAGCTCTCCTGATAAACAAATAGCAGGCCTCAGTTCCAGCCTGAGTTCTATACAGTTCGTATATATTAGTTCAATTGGCGTCGTTTTAAATATTTGATGTGATTGACTTGATCTTGGCGTAATATAACTTCGCTTTTAAGATTTGCATTAGTATGGAAGATTTAGTTAGTCGTATGGACATCATTATCAAAGGTAAACAAATATGTGGTTGTGACTTGAAAATGGAAGAATAACCCCTTTGTGGAAAATTCAAGTTTTTAGTCCTAAATAATTCATAATGAAAAGTACGACAGGAAAGTAGCTTCTACTCATATGTAGTTAATGGTAGCATACTTGTATAAATGGACAGCCCAAATTTTGCTGAAGAATGAGCTTACGCCGAAATAAGCGAACCATATCGTCGGAAAATTAAAGCGGATAGGTTAAAAGTAAAGTAACTTGGAGATCAACACAGTTTTCAATTACGCTTCATATATTCCACTCAGGTTTTATGTAAAATTGCAATATTAAGCTTTCGATTAACTTTCAAGAAGAGGCAAGCGAGAAATTGTGATGGTCGAAAGTTGTCAGTCAATATTTCCCTAAATCTCTTGATTGAAAATAAATTAGTTAACTACGGATCCACTGTTTGGATCATCATATACAATAAATCATAAAGATGAGAAAGGGACCAACACCTAATACATCTCCAACGTGCTCATATGCTGTGGGTGAAATCATTATTTGACGAGGACTGCGAACTTATATCCGGTTCCGTTGATCAGAAATATCATCCAAATACTGTTGCTGACAGTTAGTCTTTATTGTAAAAAGAAAGATTTGAACTAGTGTAGACAGTGAATCTAATTTCGAGAACTAAATTAATATCACTATAAAATGAGAAAACAGACTGATCACACTTTTGAACTTTTAAAGCATTTCGTTGTCAACTATTTAGTTACTTCCTTAAATTCGGAGTTCGATGATCAATCAGATAAATATACACAAGGCTCAAAGCACTATAGATGTTATATGTGGACATAGCTATCTCTTATATTTTTCCGTGCATCTTCACTTTAAAATCACTTATACCATTATACTTTTCCTCGAACATCATTTATGCTGTAAAAATTGTAAACATTTTATAATATTTCCAATAATTTTAATATCTATCCTCAAATAATTTTATCAACACTTACGAAATTTCGCCACTACTTGAAGTGCCAATAATGACATTAAAGCTAGAACAATTTTGTTTAACTGAAACATTTCCACGAATATTTCGCGAGTACAGACGTCGAAAAAGGTGCTGGAAGATACGTTAACACGCTTTTCAGTTAGTCAACTAACTAAACTGTATTAAGTGTCGCTATGTTTTATATCTGTTTAGTAAGTATATTAGTTCTTCAAGAAAAAAATAACAAGATAAATACAAGAGGAATCTGAACAAACTGCGCAACATACGAATATTAATTGTGTGTGGTATAAAATAGGAAAACAAAAAACATTTCGAAATGTCAATTAAGTGGTTAACTAAATGAAGGCGCCCAGACAACTTTTGTTGCTTGCTGTTGTTATTTGTTGTTTATATTTTGTTCAAATCCAGAATTTTATTTTTATGAATAAATAATGAGTAATACATACTGCGGGGTACCATATTTATATATAATTATATGTATATACTTCATAGATAAAAGGATTTATTTGAAGATTTCGAAAACAGAATGTAAAGAGCTGTTTGTTACGAGACTGGTTTGATAAACTAAATAACTTTTCATCAATTAAATACAAACTGGGAAATTTGTTAATTACTTCAATAATTGGGGATGAATGGTTGAAAATTTCTTAATTTATATATCAGGAGAGTGATTGGACAGACAGCGCCCATTCACTAAAACAACTCACATACTTCTAGTCTAATTGCATTGGGCAAAGTGAACATAGTGTTAATACACCACTAGTAGCAAAAATTTTGTATACCAAATATACTCTGATCTATTGATTAACATCTTTAATTATTATTCATTATTTTAAAATATATACTTATAAACGAAATATTATGTTTGAAATTGTTGAAGAGAAACATGATATATTGTTTAAAAAAATTCCAAGGGGGATTACAATAAAGTTCTATTTAAATATTGTTTTCATCAATTTTAAATCAACCAGCGACCGCGAAAAGTCCAATATAGTATTGAATTAATAAGTTTTAGACAAAATGAACGGTGTCATAAAAATGTGTGGCAAATTAAGTGTTATACCAAGGATCTCCCTTCTAGCTCGGTATCACATTGTAACACGCGATCCAAACAGATGTAGCTCTATTAGGTACTAGTTTTGTCATCAAGTGTCAACAAAACCACTTTATAAATCTTTGATTATGCTGATCAGACGAGTCACTGTGAATATTGTTAAAAATGGAGGTATGAGCTTTAAAGCTTCTTGGACTTAGTTCAGCGAATTTGGTGACCATAATAGTTACTACTAACTGCCCTCATAAAAGTTAAAGAGGGATGTTCAATTGATCATACATAGAAGATATTTGGAAGTAATCTTTTTTGAAGAATAGATGATAAGAGTTTCTCCCTGCGTTATAAAATCTCTCAAATTCCTTCCTATATTCATCAATTTTTTTTCATCAGCAACTGTAGGGCTACTACAATGATTTTCCCAAACTTCAGATAGTCTATCATTATCAAGCTCCTTAAGTACTGGTTCCATAAAAGCTTTACCTTCTTCAGAGAGGTTATCAAAATTATCACGGTTGAAAATCTCACTGTCACCTATAAGAGCGAACCACGATAGTCCGGCCAAGATATAAGTATGTTAATTGTACCAAGGGACTTTACGCTTTGCTCTCTATGTTATAGTGGGTATATTTATAGGAAATCCTTGGTTGACAAATTTCATTTTGTTTCATCGAAATATCACACTAAATTCAGTCTGGTTCAACTCATTTCCGCCACGTTGTAAATACCAATTTTTATATATATATATTATATATCTTCTAGATTTGGCTGAGCTTCTCAACAAATGAACGCAAAAACTGTTGGATCCGATATTGGAGAATTGAAAGATATTTAGAATATTTTTCGGAATATTAACTAAAACACGATTGTATATAAAATGGTTCTGGGGTAATTAGCTTGTGACTTTATGTTGGTTATGCCGTTATTGGTTTAATATTTTGGGGAGTTCACTTTATTTTCAAGCCGTGATCAAGATGGTTTGCATTAACCATCATCCAGTATATTAGTTTTAATGAAGTTAGTTACTTGATATCGCTAGACGTTATTGGGTCCTTAATTTTGCAGATTTCCTATTTATGAAGCTCAATCTAATTGTCACCTAGACATAATACTTGCTATTGATATATAAAACGATACTTAAAACAATGCAAACTCCATAAATACATATATAAATAACTGCATTAGATATTTCATCTACACAGTTCAATTTAAAAAAACTTGAACTTGATGAGCTGCTTTACTGTCGGAACTTGTTTGAAAAAAAAATCTGATAAATACTCGCTGTACCTAAAAAACTGCCGGCTGCCGACAATAATTATACGTATATATATTTGTATATACATATACAAATGTATGTATATATATTCGTATAATTTGATCTATATCTATATGTATGCCATTATATTCTAATCTAAACGTGTTGATCGAAATGTTGGTATAAAAGTTGTATTTGATGATGTGTTACCTTGTAAACAGCTGTTAGTTAACGTAAGTGTATGATCATATATTTACAATTAATCGTTTACAGTTATTTTTCGACGGCAAACGAGTTTAAACATTCAATCATCACAAAGCATGATGACAATTAACAAATAAGTGTACGATATTTTCCATATATTTAAATATTTCGCACTATATGATCGGTAGCAATGACATAAACATAATAATGAAGCGAAGATACATAGGTCAATAAAAAAGTATTAAATTCAAGTTAATGTTTACCCTGTAAGCGCTGCCATGTCATCTCTTTTTTGTTGGATTGTATATTGTAAATTTTAGATAAGTAGATGTCATATATATGGTCTGATTATGCGAAATATTGTATTGGCTTAAATGAACACAGATTACAGCGCCTCCTGAGGTACGAGCAACATTGCTCTCATCAACGAAGTTTGAATCAATACAATCAAAAAAAAAGGATTTAACTTTAACTTTAAAATGTAATCATGTTGAACTGTGTCACATTGACATTTGGTCCAAAAATTAAAGAACGTTTTTAAAAGAAAATGTGTTTTTAATATTAGAGCAAAGTAACGAATGTCGCTTCGTGAAGTTTCGAGATCTTCAAAATAGGCGCTTATTTCCACCTTAAATTCCGAATTTGAGTCGAGTCTGTAAAAGAGGAGATGCTAAAAATAATAATTAACTCATTTCATTTAATTTTACGGCCACCCAATAAATTCATGAATTTTGGCGATGTTTTCCTCTGTTACTGCCTCTTGTGGACTTCCTAAACTGTTACGACGAAGTTCAACGACCAAGAACAGGAACCGTAACAGTTTTTGGGACAGCGAAATCCATTTTTTTTAATTTAAATAATACATGTAAGGAAGTGCTAAGTTCAAGTGTATTCTGGCAATATGCAAGGACCGGGGAAATACTTTCAAGCATTGGCAAAACATTACATTAAATACCCTCATACTAACCGACATATTTGGCATAAAGGCTGCTATGGGGCTGCGATAATTCGCGGGCCGATCTGAAACATTGTTGGCATTAAATTACATTACATCCAGTATTAGAGATCACTTAATTTCGCTCAGATATCTTAGATATTGGCATATATATATGTATAAAGATATAAAGCTTGCCAGTAGTTTAATATTCTTAAATTATAATTTTTATAAGATTGACCAATGTACAATATATGTATGTTATAAAGTCAACCGAAAGTTCGAATATTTTTGAATTAGATATATGGGGGCTAGGGGAAGTAGTGATCCGATTGACGTCCATTTTAACACAATGACAACTTATTAGAGGGTATAAAAGTATTTCAAAATTTCACTAGTATATCTCACAGACTGACAGATAGTTTTGGTAAAAAGACAGCCATAGGCACAGTGGTCCACATATTCGGTACCTGCGAGCTTGAACAGCTGTGGTTCGATTTTGACAATTCTTACGTTGTTGTCGCTAATTTTAACAATATTAATTTTAACAAATATCCAGCTAACGTTATGCCAAACATTTTTTTGAATTTGATTGGGTATTTGCAGATATATGGGATTTCGCTTTTAAGTTGGCGGTACCACGCTCTTTGTCCAATTTTAACACCGATTCCTTTGACGCACTTTTAGTAGTTTTCACTGTGACCGTCATAAGAGGAGTGTGTTTGTGGATCAACGCAAATTAGGGACCTACATCTACACAACCAAATTACAATATTAGCTTGCTCGAACAGTAATTTAGTGAGGAGATATATAAATAGTACATCCTTCGCCCCCTTTCCTAATATAAGAAACATTTAACTTCTACATCTCTTCGGATTTCATTATTATATCTATTCGACCAGGATTTAAAAAATATAGGTATACAAAGTTCAAATAAACTTCTCGCCTCCAATTCAATCGCCACGCATAAGGGTTATATTACACCAGTAGCTCTGTTTACCATGTGGTCGGTGTCATTCTAATAAACACAACTATCAATAGCTAATTTACAACAGAACGATTTTATTAAAATTCAATTTATTCTACAAATAATTTATTATATGGTGTTTTGTCAAAAACTGAGTCGATAATACTTGACATCAATTTTGATAATTCCTTGGAATAGGATACCTCAACTTCCTGAAAAATTTCTTTCCAGTTTTCATTTAAAAACAAATTCATATTATCACCCAAAGCTTTGTCACCATTGAAAAGATTTTGTAATTCGAAGAACACTCTACTGGGCTTAACAATGGCTCTGAATTTGTCGGTTTTCATATAAGTGGCGCCATCCTTCTCAACGGGCGCGCCCACCCATTGTAATATGAATTCTGCATCAACTGAAAGTGGAAAACATTTAATTATATATTTTTGCGTAAGTGGAAGTCGAAACTTTAATTTACTCATAGTGATATTGTTTTTGCCGGAACCGCTAATGGGCAATATCAGAATACGGCCTTGTATTTTATAATCGCCGATCAAGCTAGCCACCGGTACTTTGAAGCGTAGCTCATGTTTTTTCGTGAGATCTTTGCCAAAGCCCCTGCGCAGAGTAAAAACCGAAATAAAATAAATGTAATAATTTTTTAGTTTTTAAATGGTTCATTTACCTAACTTTGGAAGCTGTGGCATTAGCGACACCATAAATTTTATTATTGCTAAAAGTTAAGTCAATATTCACCGGATTATCAGCGCCTTGCTTGAGTGTGAATGTGCCGGCATCAATAGGATCGATTTGTGGCAGATTTATCGAAGGGTCTCCTAAACAAAAAAAAAATATATACATATACATTTTTTTCGTGTTTTTGGCTACCAGTAAATCAACCTGCTCTAATGTACAGACTCACCTTGATTTTTTTCACGTAAATAAAAGTTGATCGCCTTCAGTAAACAATCCTCGTCTCCAAATTTACATGGCTTCGGATCATTGGCTGAAAGTCATATAAGTACAAATATATTTTTACTTAGAAAACGGAGCCGAAGAATTATATCCATATATGGATACTAAGAAAACTATATATACTACTACAATCTAACCAAATGTATTTTTTGAATGTGGTCCCCCGCCAGAAGATAATTCTTTGAGATTATTCCTGGCGTAAAACTATTTTGATAAAATCAGATAGCTGTTTCGAAGCATGGCGGACATACCGTTTGATCTTTTAAAGTTTTTCTTTAAAGTTGGAAGATGGGAGAAATGTAAACGAAGTGCTAAGTTAGGTAAGTTGGCTTAAAATAATCTGTTTAGATTTCAAAATTTGTCGACCATGGAAAATAAATTGAAGGTATCGGAAAAGAAAAGTTTGTATCGTACCGCCAATCTGTTCTTCCTGGGCAGTTGTGAAAATTAAAATTGAAACAGGCATAATAAATTTCATACTAATTAATACATATTATAAAGTGAAATTTTTACAGATAAACAGCGAATGACAAGAAAATTTTATTCATTGAAATCCTTTCAATAAAAGTGTTTATTTAATTAGTTTTTTGTTTTTTTGGAACGGCGCTAGTTTTACTTCTTGTTACACAAAATATTTTGGATTCGAACCTTCTACAAAGGATTATAATGCACAAAACGCCAGAGAAGAACCCATATATATACAATTTTACCAAGGCCTAATAATGTATGATCACCAAAAAAAGTTCCATGTTGATCGGTAGCTGAGTTTAAATCCGAGGCCTCTTCGGAGCGCACATTTTCAACCAATAAGCCACAGTGGCAGCCTAGGTAACGAACGTGGAATATCGAAGAATTCACTTATACCCAGTTTTTCGAGATATAACAAAAGATATGGAAGCTTTTGTCTTTTTATACATTTGAAAAATGTTGGACAGATTAGACACTGGCTATCATGAACTCGCGATCCTTAATAGTGGGCTTCGAAAACGTTAATAGCTGAATCTTAAACTCGCGCCATTATTTTTACTATTTTTCAAATAATTTTTTATTGCAATACCATTTTTCATTTAGAACCGTCTGTTACTATTAATTTCTCAATTTTTTTTTATTATTTAATTTCTTTCAATTTTTTTCCTTGAACACTTACGAAATTCCGCACTATTGAGTTGCAAAAAGGAGCAAACAAGCGCTGCAATTAATGCAATTCGTATATACATTTTGCTTAACTAACGGTGTTTTTTTCTATTCTATAATTGTTGATAATTATTTAGTCCTTTCTCCTTTTAGTTTTAAGAATTATAAGTTCTCCGCCACTTCCGTCTTGATATCGATGCACAAATGATTTAAATCAAACTAGGAGAATTGATGAAATCTCACTGAGTTTTTATATGAGAGAAGTGATTATAGTTTGCATTATAATGTATATATGTACACATATGTAGTTATACAATATATAGTCAATAATAAGTGCAATTTACTTTATTAGCGTACTTCGAAACATTTATTCGCTCAAAATAATTTATTTCTTACGATCATTTTACAACTTATTTACTTCCATAAGATATGTGTGAAGCGAAGTGGTAGATGGAATAGCGTTTTTGAACTACCAGTTTTTGTAACTTTTACACACACGTGTATGAATGTAAATATAATATATAATCAAATAAATAGTTTTAAATAGAAAACGCCTTTGTGCATATATAGGGTGATTTTTATTACGTAAATAACTTCGTTTAACCGATTGGTATTTGGTTTGTTATTGGCGAGATATGGTCATGCTAGAAGATATGGCGTAATTGAACTAATAGGATGGCGCTTGTAAAACACAGTCAAAAGGGTCATAGGCCCGAAGTTATATTCAAACACTATATTCTACATTTGACATGTGGAAAATTTCTATACCTCCATAAAATACCTAACACTTAATGTATTTAAAGATATGATAATTTATGCAATTGCTCATATAACTTCGAGTTAGATCTGTCGTAGTGATGTAAGAAATATTATTGACTGTTTTTTTTCAATTAATGGCTTTATTTTTATTTCAGTTTAATATAATAATATATGTATGTTGTCAAATCTCATCTCGAGTAGTTTTTTTAGTAGTCACTTTTACAGAAAGAGGACAATCTGCTATTGATGCGTTTAAGTAGGTCGTCTGCTGATTTTGCAACAATACAAAAGTTTGAGTTTTGGTAATTCATTGGATTCATCAATAATGATATAGACAAGAATGTGACAACGACATAAATGAAACGATCTATCAAATTCCTGTAGTTTATGAGGTTTCGAACTAATATATTTCTATGTCAAACGCACTTAATGTAATGGAGCGAAAGGTCGTAGACTCTTTTGGATTTATTTTTGAGAGATCATCTGATTCCATGATCATTTGACTGCAGTCGAGCAATAGTATAGTAAAACTTCGGTGGTATTATACCTTTTGGAATTCGGCAACTCTCACTCATAACCTCAAATATTTGTATTAACACCGTTTCCAAAATTTATTTCAGTTGTCAATTACTCCTCACAATGGTTGAGCTTTGTTCTCTTGTAAAAAAATTTCAATGTGAAAATAACACCAAGGTTAGTTAGCTGAATTTAATCGAAGAGAGTGAGTGGTTATCTCGTTAAAATATATGCAAGTATCCACTTTCTATACTATTTGGAATTGATTTATGTCACTTGTTTGTTCGATTCGCGTATTCAAGTTTAATCGAGTCTAATCATAGATTCCCTATATCACTTACATACTTACCATATATAGCACATGTATTGCAGGTAAACTATATAATCATACATATCTATGTACGTTATTAAGAATGATAGTGAAGCAATAGCATATACTTACATGCAGTATATTTAATTGCCCCATTGTCAATAATATTAATTGTCTCATCTTAATTAAAAAGCAAAAATAAATTGCACAAACATTTTTCCATATATTTTTACATAGATATATCTGTACTGTATTTTATATCTGAAATATTTCATTATATGGAATCGTACTGAAGACTTGTTTTGCAGCCGCTTCCATTGCCTTGGCGATCGTATCATAAAATGGTACTTTCAGTTCAGCATAAATATCCTGCCAGTTTTCGTTCAAAAAACTATTGATGTTGTCACCCAAAGCTTTATCACCGTTAAAAAGGTTATCAAATTGCATTATCATACGTTTAACTTTGCATTCAATGCGAAATTCCTTAATATCCAGAAATGTGTTGCCATTCTCATTGCGTGAGGTTGCGTCTATGCGGATTCTGATCACAGGTTGAGCTAACGAAACATAAAAAAATTTAGTTATGCACAGTTATAAGTAGTTTGTAGCGGCTCTCACCTAACGTAATATTACTTTTACCCTCGCCTTGTATAGGCAGTATCAGTACCTTACCATCAATTTTGTAATCGGATAACATTGTTAGGGCAGGTGCAGCTACTATGATTTCGTGACGTCCTTCTGGGTTTTTCCCGAAACCCCTGTAAAATAGCAATGCTTATTACCATTCTTAGTATTATTTAGTGCAATATTATTTCATACTGACTTCACTTTTCTTGCTCTCAAGTCCTTGACGCCATACCCGAGAGGGTTGCGCAGCGCGAGATGAATTGCTAAAGGACTCGTCGAGTTCTGACTAATGATAATATCATCCATCTTAAAAGGTAGTAGTTTAGGTAATGCGAAACTTTCATCGCCCTCATATTTTTTATCGAGTACAGTATTTATATTCTCGATAATACATTTCTCATCACCGGCAACACATTGTTTGATGTCATCGGCTGCAATTGATGACGAATTCAATATAATTAAAAAAAAATATAGTTTTGTGATAAACAGCGGTGTGCACTAGTTGTTAATATTGTAATATTCATTTATTATTATATCTTTTCCGAATTTTTCATTTTTTTAACGTGTAGCAACTTTCTTAAAAATATGTTCGAGAGAAATCTTTCTTATATCCTTGAATGGAATGTCCATTTTACAATGTGTAATTTATTTTATCGATTAAATTATACAAAAATTATATACAGGTGACAATCTTATCGAAATAGTTTCAATTAAAATCTTTTATAAACCCCGTTAGTTTGATATTGTATCAAATTGCTAAATAAATAATTTTAAACAGGTGGCAACAGGCTTACAAAATTGGATCAAATTTCATTGAATTACCTCTAAAGGAAAGAAACTCCATAGGAGAACAGAGCTTAATAAAAAAACGAAGCTACCTCGAAAGGAGACATCGTCACTGAACAAATAATTATATGAAGAACTTGGAATAATCTTCATATATGGAAGGCATATAAAACATTGGAACTATGATGACCGCAGGATAATATAGAATAACCTCAACGTTTATTTGAAAGACAATATATATATTATTAAGTCAAATTAATCACCGTCACTGCTTTGCAAAGGTACTACATTTATGAAAAGAGAACTTCATGGGACCGCATGAAATACTTTCGCCCCTCCCATCCACATATTTTCCTACAAAACTTGGATACTTGTTTAAAATACAATCACAATAAGATTGATATGCGTCATAATAGACTACTTCGGGAAAAGCAAATAATTTGCAATCATATGTACATCGTGCTTAATAAATGAAAGCGCGTGTCAGAAAAAGGAATCCAAGGGTCAATTATCATGTCATAAATGTGTTACTATATTAACTATGATTACTTTTAATTACCATTTTTCTAACGTATTTATCCAATATATTCCTCTATACGTATTTAGTAGGATGATCGGCCAGGTTTTATGACTACATGAAATAGTTATTTATTAAACCAAGACTTCCTTTTTGATTTAAAGGAAGTATACAACTTTGTTTAAAAATAATAATATTTTAAACATGCAATGAATGCAATAAAATGCTTTTAAAATATTATATTCTGTAGAAAGCTTACTTAAAAGTGCAATATTTGTCCAAGCCACGAGATCAACTATAAATATGGACTATAAATACACAAAATTATACTAGCCAATTGCATTAAAATATTATATAAATTTATTGTTGTCTCCAAAAATATATTAAATTTCCTGCTAAATATAGAGTGCGGAGTCCAAACAGTCCGATTACCCTAGTATAAGCTTGTGTGTATGCGTATTTTTAAACCCCATTAACTATTATCAGTGTGATTTTAATGATCCAATTAATAATTTACAACAAATCATATCAAATTCCTAATAAGCTAATTCGCGCAATTTAATTAAGAATAAATTTATTTGTTTAAGAGGTTAGCATAGAAGTTATTAATTAGAGATAAATGTTGAAAAAGCATATTCAAGTTGTTTACTATTCATAATAATATTTAATTTTACCTTAATATATGAAATCTGGCCAAGAAAAATTATATTATAAACTTATTTTTAACTTTTCTGCATTTCCATTTCGAGCAGGTAGTAAAGACAACAAGTAAGGTTGTAATTATATTTCCTTTCAACCTTGAAAAAATGTTATTCTAGTACAAAGTTGTTTGCTCTACAAAAGAGGTATTCATGATTTGTTTCATTAAGCTACTCCTTTAAAAGAAGAAAATATCCATTATTAAATATATGGGAAAAGTAAATTGATTTATGCTCAGTTTGAATTCAAAATAAAGGGCTTAAATTGAAGGGAACTAAAATTTCAGGTGCCGTTTGCATAAAAAATAATCATGCTCACTGTTTGTGTATTTATGGTGCTTTTAGCTTACCGGAAGTACGAAGATTCTCCTTTACTGAGTATCGAAAAGTACTGTTTCGACCATATATCAATAAGATTAGTGGATCAACCGCATGCCAAGGTTTGGTGTTGTATAAAAAAAATACGACCTCATTTGGATATTAACGCCCAGATTAATTATAAGTATTAACTTTGTCACATTTGTGATACGAAATAAATTTACGAAAACAAAATTAAATTTTCCACCTATTGTGAACAGCTACTTAAATTATTTAATTGCGACTAAATACTTTTGAATGCTGCCTAAATGTATGCAAAGATTTGTATATGTATTCGTTACTATTTGCAGAGAATGTTAATGAATACAGAGAATGTTAATAAATAGCAGAGAATGTTAATAAATAGAGAAGGCGCAAATGTTAAAAATACTAAATTGAGCTTTTCACAAGAGGGAACATCGAAAAATACAACTTCGACTGGTTTAAAATACACCATGCAGTGGTCGAAACAGGGAAAAGGCTATAAATAGACACAAAGAATGTTCTTAATTGAATTATGCGCATGCTGATTTACATTTGCATATTACCAACAATCATAATTTTTGTAATTTATAATAATCCTTTAAATTATATACGAGGATTATTGGTTAAAGCCGCAGAATTTACAACAAAATAAGTAATTAATAGCTAAATTCTTTAACACATTTTTGTGCGTTGCATGAAAAATATCTAATAGGCAAAGGATAACAATAAAACCAGAGAATGTTAATGAATAGAAAAGGAGCAAATGGTAAATGAAATCTTTTTGAGTACTAATTTGTAATTCCAGATGAGGGAACATCGAAAAATATAACTTCGAAAAAGAAAAATACACCACGCAATGTGCGAAATGCTATAAATAGACACAACGAATATTCCTAAATGAAAAATCGTTGCGCATGCCTATTTAGATTTATGTTTTCAATTTCTATGATATGACAAATTTATAATTATGAAAAGCCTTCTGAATTAAAAATCTGTATTACCGGTAAAAACCTCAGAATTCATAATAAAATAAACATTTAATAGGCAATTTTACCAACTTATGTATGTGCGTTGCGTGAGTAATTGCTTATTGAGCAAAGGATAACAATAAAACGGTGGCTAAGTGGCCGCGTTTCCACTTTTGTGGTGGCTTAGGTCGTAAGCGTGCAACTTTAATTTTAATTTTTTATTTTATTAATTGGAATCTTAACATATCTCAATTCAATTACATATTACTATAATTAGCATATTTTATATATGTTCATATGTTTAGGTTCATTGAACATTTCCTTATTATGCGTATTTACACAAATGTGATAATCACACATACATTCTTAAAAACACGTACGCTTCATTAACATTCTCTGCTACCGTTATGCAATTGAGATATATACTTACATGCATTTAAATGCATTGCAGAAAAAATGTTGATAGAGAAAAATATATAATTTAAATTTAAAGCAATCGAGTGAGTGTTTCTTTAGGTTATATATAATGATAAAAAATTGTCAATAGTACAACTTTAGTGTACGAGTATATGTGTCTTCACAGCATAAAATTGGCTCAAAGGATAATTACATTTTATATAATGCCATTGACTAGTATAGATTGGACTTCATCAATTTTAAAAATGAAAAAAAAAATTAAGAAATTAATGAGAACATACAGCAGGATTTTGAATTTGCTAATTAAATAATTTTGAATTAAAATTAAAATTTAATTTGTTAAATTATTGTTAAATTGAAAATTTTAATTTTAATACCAAAATTAGAATGAAAGAATCTAAATTTAAAAATTGGAGTAACAAATACACAAATTACTTTTTAAATCAAGTACTGGAATGAAAATGGAAAAAGAAACATATTACATCACATATTGCTATATATTCTATAATTAAAAGTAATTAAATATAAATAAGACAGGAAGTGTTCAACTAGGTTGAAATGTTATTAAAAATAAACTTTCCTCTTAAAAAGATAATTAAAATGGTGAAGTACACAAGCGTGATATAATTTAAAATTCAAAAACATATTTTCTTTTTAAATTATAAGCTTGGGATTAATATTTTTCGGTATTTAGGATTAAAACTAAAAAAAAATTAAGTTTTTTATATGGAGAATGACAATATGGAAATATTGGCTTGATGCAAAACTGAAAACACATACTTTCGATACGATTTTTGGAACGGAAAGTTAATTATTGGTGGCTAGGTCACCCGAATGACCATTAATACCTTAGTACTAGAATTGGAATCAAGAGATAATAACACATCTTATCATTCTTCTATTTGTTGTCCACTTGTAGAGGAAAAAGCTATAGTCGTGCACTTGAGAAACCGAACAAAGATATTTTGGCAGATATAGTGTCACTTAAACACATTTAGTATCAAATTTTTAAGCGTTCTAGCCGTTTTCCAATTAATTCAACATGCATTTTATTCTTCTTATTATTTTTTTTTTTGCACACAACTCACACTACATGTAACTGCCATTGCAAGTGTTCATCAAATTCATATTCTCGTAGTTTGCAATATTTTTCCCTTTTCATACTGTTTCACATTCTTTAAAATCAAAATCGCTCAAAATGATCGAAACTTACGAAGCTTCGCTGAACTGCCGGATATCAAAATGAAAACGCAAATGGTTTCCAGTACGATTGCACAAAGTTTATATGAACGCATCCTTACAAAAACAACAATAATATAAATAAATTGCACCGCTTTACAAAGACTTTGCTCAACTTCGACTAATTGTAAATAAACATTTAACTTGCTTTAGTGAAACTTTTATATCGCCGGAGGCTGGTTAAAACGCTACCTTGGCGTTAATTGTCGCCTAATCATTTGAGTCGCATTCGATGCTAATCAAGGCAATAAATTATTGAAAGAATTCAATTATCGATTGCATAGTCGGTAGCCGTATGTGCAAAAACCGATCGCGACCGTAAGTTGACCACATGGGTAGCACAAGTATGACTCCGCAGGGAGCTAACACGTTCCCGGTGCAGAGGTGTTGTAGCAAAAAAAAAAACAGACGTGTACAATGTATGAATGAAGCATTGTCACCTATATGTTTGTCAACAATTCTGATAAATCATAGTCAGTTGAATTGAATTTAACTTAAAGCAAAAAATTAATAGAGAATTTAATTCTTACACAAATATTAACATATTTACCCACATTTACATTAATGAACTGTTTTGTTCAATATAGATATGTTGCATAACACCGAGGTTGAACTGAGGTAATTAAGTGGTTATTGACGTGTATAAAGAAAAGCAATAATTTATAAAAATTATTGAAAACGTTTGCATTCAGCACGTGAAAAGTTGAAGTGACATTTCGTACATGGCTTAGCTTAACCCTTGTTTATTCACTTTCGATGGTATATTATGATGGCGAATATTGTTTAGATAATGTTTAGTTGGTTCTTAAGTTGCAGTCGCGTTATAATTTTGTCCTGTATCACAAGCAATCAACTGCCTTAATAATGGCGACAAGCGATCATCTATTTCCACACATTTTTAAGGGTCTCTTTACATTTATGTCATATCTAAAAGGACTAACGCGTTCACTAAAAGGGTTCATAATTTGGCGTAGTTCTTTTATTATGTATGGTTTTAATTACGTCAAAATCAATGACGTTCATAGTCACTACTTTGTGATCTCACGATATTGGCAATTTTCGAAATAAATTAGCAACAAATTCTAATTTACGTTTGTAAATCAAGTTGGTGCAACATGTAAACGCAATTGATGTTTCTATTGCGATCCGTTTTCCGATTAACGTACATATGGTATCAAAACTTTACTATTGTTAATGTAGCGTCATTGAACTTGACATTATGAAACCCGAATGAATTAGTCTGTCAGTTTAATAATAACATGTAATAAATATTTTTAAAACGCTTGTTTATTTAGTGAAAAGGTTTTGAAAATACTTACTTTAGAGCCACTTAGTGGATAGATTTTTGATGTTTATTTAATGTGATAAATGGCGTGATTTAAATTTGAATTATACAAACCTTATGGTTTAGATTTTGTTGTGATTTGTAGTAGAGAAGGCTCATCACATAGCAGATATATGTATATTTTTAGTGCACTCTTTCAACATGCCACGAAATTATTTTGAAATTTCATCCAAATCAAAAAATTTGATTTTAAGTAGTTCTATTATTCACTCGTTTGAAAATTTGTTGTGGAAAAATATTTTACTACTATTTGCCTAAGTTAGTACTTAACTGACCATCGGTCCAACTGGGTCCAATTTGCGCTATTATAAATGTTACAGTTCCCAGTTTTCTCTCATTTCAGAATATTTGTTTATCTGCTTTATCAAATAAGTATATTTAAAGTACGGTTTTCGATTTTTTTGTTTTCCTAACCCACTGCCACTCAATTGTCTGAGATATAACATAGATTTACATTGAGTTTGATTCCTGGGATCCATTGGTACTAATCCTTTTGTCCCATTTTTTATTACAATTAAATTACTTGCAGTAGTATTAGAGGTGAACGAGTGAGTAAGAAAACTTAAATTTTTAATGAGTTTATGGGCAAAATTCCATTTAAACTTAGAACTGAACTTTTTGAATTTTTTAAGGAATCTTCGATGAGATCCATGTTCACTTCAAACATTAGTAAATCATCGATCTTTCTTGCCTTAACTGGTTGGAAATAATCTGTAGTTTCATCGGAGTGCCACTACATTGTGAGTCCAATGATCAGTGTTCTGCATAACTGTTTAATTATAGTTATATAGAAGTGAAAATTCCCGTTTTTTTATATTTAAATATATCATGGATTATAAATACTCACGCTGTTAACACGCTACATTAATCACGATGTGTACACATATATAAAACTTGTTATCTAAACGTTGACATATCGATTAGCTTTAACTATAATAATATACATGTATATAACTACATATTCTTGTGACAAACGGCTTACAACTGATATAAAAAACGTGTCATGAGTTAAACGGTAAAAAGCAGTCATACAAGAATAATCAGAACAGAGCTTCACGCATGACTTTCTTCAGTGTGAAAATGAAATTAATTAAAATCGTGAATATTTATTAACTAGGGTACTTACTTAGGTATGAATATTTGCTTAAGGCTGTGAAAAATTTCGTTATAATCACCAATTAATGAATAAAGTGAATATATAGGTTAGAAACTTGTAAAACGTTTAGTTTTAACGACATTTTCATTCAGTTTCGTCATTTTCATAAACCCACGTTTATTACGTCAGTAAAGATGCGTTTGATGAATATAGGGGTCGATTTTGCAAAAGTTTCAGATCTTTTGGTACGAATGTTGCATTGACACGCTGCATACCCAAAACGTTAAACAAAATGTGTTGAGTCGATCAATAAGAGATGTTGCGATCTCTGAGGCAAACACGGCGATTTTCAAGCACTGTTTCTATAACATTTTCGATGTTATCGGCATTAACAGAGCTGGATAGATAACTGGCATGAGGCAAGTTTTCGATGATTGCACGACCTTTACTGAATGCTTTGTGCCACTCAAATCCTTGTGTTCATGATAAAGTAGCCGGGATTCCATTAGAAACACAAAAGTTCAAGTAAACTTGTTGTTGAATTTTTTTCGTAAACAAACTGCTGCCAAACACACACTAATTGACACAAGGCCAAACTTCACACGAACATAAAGTGTAGTTTAAAAGAACCCGTCCGGGTCAAATTAGATGATCAGATGAGATTTTTTTTGCATTGACATCAGTAAGATCTTTCCAACCCCTAACGGATAAAGATGAGTGTAAGATCAGTAATGATTGTTGTAAATTGTATTCTGTGCCCTCAGTAAGTATTAGTGTTACCTTAGTTAAATTACTGATACGCAAATCATATTTTTGGCTTTGGGTGAGTAGTTGCCATTATCATTTTGTGTAAATCTGTAAGTGACATTCCTAATGTTGCATATATAACAATGACGATCATTTCATCAGCATTTAATCATATTAAAGGCAGAAGTTTCAAAATGGAAGAAATCTTTTCTGTAATCAGAACATGTTTCCCCAACTGAATAAGAATGCAATTCAGCTATCTGGTGATTGAAGTAGAAGGTTGTACTTATGTTTCATCATAGGTTCCTTATAAAGCGTGTATGGATTAAATGCGCATTGTAAAATCTATAGGTGGTTATAATATCCTCAAAACTGTTATTAAATTATAGGAAATGTTTTCATTAATATAGTTTATTACGATTTCCGGTTGTCCTTACTGACATGTAAAGGCATATACAAAATACATATATTTGTATAATAGCTAACAACAAATCTCAATTTTACTTTGACCCAATTGATTATTTACTTAAAAAATTAATTTTATATAACTTTAAGCCAAAATCACACGATACATTATTTAAAGTTATTTTAAGATTAAAAATTCCTAACAAATAAAATAACACATAAACAAAATTTTTCATAAGCCAATACTAACAGAGTATTTCATCACGATAAAATTGTTGCTATTTCCTATTACACCACATTCATATAAAACCTTCAAATTCGACAACCACTTAATGTGTAAATAAATTATAATACCTAATTAAGGGGGATTCCTTCAGACCCTTTTACTTATACATATACCATATAATTAATATGCTAACTTCAAGTGCTCTTTTAGTCCTCATATAAATCATCGTAGGCGAAACGTTTGAAGAGTGTCTGTAATATACTTTTCACAACCTCAGCAATGGCCACGTGTATGGAAGGTTGGAGCTCAGTCCAGACCTCATTCCAGTTTTGATTTAAAAACTCATTTAGATTGCTACCAAGTGCTGGATCACCGTTAAACAGATTGGTCAGCTTGATGCTCATTCTGTAGGTTAAATATGATGATAAATTATTTGAAGTGCTTACGAAAACCAATTAATGCTTATGTTATTACCTGTCTGGTTCCACTAATACTTTCAATTTGTCCACGCTCAGGTATGTCTTTCCATCCCTAGGATGAAGTGCTGGCTTGAATTTTACAGAGAATTTGGGATTGTGCAGCACAATATCAGCGTCACCATCACCTTTGATGGGCAAAATCAGTATGCGTCCATCGGCAACATATTTACCACGCAGCGCAATTTTTGGGAATGAGCCGTACATTTCAAATTTGCTTGTGGCGGGATCGCGATCGAAGCCACTGTAAAATATGAGGACCAAAATAATGAATTCTTGAGAAATAAATATTTAGTATTTTTAAATAACTCAAATTTCTATTATATTATATAGAAAGCAAAAGACGTGGGAACTGATCAGTGTTGCTAGACCAAGAAGTCTATAATTCGTTCGGCATTCACACGCGTCATAACTTAGATAAGGCCTGTCCTTCTTAAATACACTGTCAAAAGCTCGATAAGATAACAAATTTGTATCCCTTTTATTCACTCGCTAGTTGCACATACTTTAATCTAATATCCAAGAAAATTATATGGGCGGTCGAAATCGCTCCGATATAACTATTCATTATAACATTTGAGCGTTGATGTACATGCTTGTATCAGAGAATGTTAATAATGGGTGAAATCGGGTGGCAACCCCGCCCACTCCCCATTTAAGGGTACTGTTAAAAAATACTAAAAGCGCGATAAATCAAGCACTAAAAAAGCCAGAGACATTAAATTTTATCTCTGGGATGGTATAAGATGATTTTATAGGAACCACGTTCAAAATTGGATAGTGGGCATGGCACCGCCCACTTTTAGGTGAAAACCCATATCTTGGGATTCGCTTAACTGGTTTCAACCAAATTCGGTACATAATATTCTTCTCATATTTCTATGTTATAGTACGAAAATGGGCGAAACCGGATTACAACCCCGCCTATTTCACATATAACATCATTTTAAATTCCATCTGATTTTTTACTTTCTAGTATGCAAAGCAAGCAACAATGATTATATCGGCGTAAAACTTTGCGTGAATAATACGTTTAAAGAATGCCACCTTGTGACTAAAAATTATCTAAATTGAACAAAAACTTTTCAAGCCCCTGGGTACTGAATATGTGGACCCCAGTGCCTATAGTTGACTTTTTACCGAAAATATCGGTCAACATAGAACAAGGCGGTAAGATCCACAAAGGAATCTAAAACGAGTATATCATATGACTTTGTGGGAGTACAAAATGTTCGGTTGCATCCGAACTTAGCCCTTGCTTACTTGTTGTTGTTTATGTTTGGCCATGCAAAAAAGCCTTCGTATAACCTTTGTCATAGCTCTAATAGAGCGAAGTGACAATTGTACAAGTAGCTATTACAGTTTTTTTTTTTGTCGTTCAACTTTTTCAAGAATATTCGCTCATGCCCAGAAATCAAATAAAATAAGAAATATAAAATAAATAACGCATAAGATTAAAATAAATTAAAAAAAAGTGAATACTGTATATATAAAATATATACGCACCTACATACGACAAATAGCTAAAACGGCAATAAGCAAACAAACCAATGTTAAATAAAACATCACATGAGGTTAATGAACGCGCATGGATAAATTCAAAACGAAGTATAATTTTTTAATAAAAACTATTTTATGCAAGTAATATGCAAAATTGTTAGGCCGAATCATATGATCTACTGAGTTGGAGAATTCCGGTGACAACTTTATAGTTTATACAGCACAATTGAAGTTCTGTATAATTTGCCCGTATGTGAATGCGTAGATATGCAGATTTGCAAAAAAAATATATTTTCTGATTTTCTTAATATGCGCCGTAGACTTTGAACCTATGGCAACTAAATAGTGCTTATATTGGTATTCAAACCAACAGCGTTAAGAAGATTTCAGAATTTAATGTCAAAGTAAACATGATACGGCGAATATGGGAATCATTATTATTATTTGTTGTATTCGTATTGTGAAATTTCTTATATGCGTATACATTAGGGTGTGTGGGTGCTCTATATGAGTTGCTTTCAACAATTTATATTTGTTATGACACATTTTTAACTTTTTGTTGCTTTAATCCCCTACCATATAAAAAAATCCTCACTACAATAATAACATCACCAACCCGGTTATCTCTTCAAATTAATTATTTCATTAAGAAAAATAAAATAGAAAATTTTCAAACAATCACTGTCAAAGTTCATAACACACTCAATAGAGCATTCGTTTGCGTGATGAAATTTTGCGAGTTTTAACTTCTACGAAATTTTATCTGAGTAGAGCATTATTGTGCCATTCGCGTTAATATAATATTTATCCTAGGCTACTCCTATTGTTTGAAGTACTTTTGAAAGCTGGGTTCAACATTAATACCCTTAGACAGGGCATTTGTAGTGAATTGTTAGAGAAAAATGTGCAAAATATTGTTGCAGAACACCGGGCCCCGTAAAAACTTCCGGCCTGGGAGGAAGTGTCAACCATCTCCCAGCCTCAATCCTTCACTGCTGTTAGAAAATAAATGAACAAGTGAATTTTGCTTACTTTGTGAATACTTTGGGACTGGATTAATGGAAATAACAATTCCAATTATTTAAAATTTTATCAAAATTGCTAAAATTTGAGTGGTACTTGGTTAAGCAACAGGTTTCGGAATAGGTAAATGCTGAAAGAATATAAAACGTTTTTATGATGATTTCCCATTGAAAATTTTTGTGATTTCAGGGGTTTTTTTAATTCAAAAATACTTCAAAAATTAGTGTAATTTCATAGACGGCCTCAAAATTAGAACAAACAGAACAAACCCAAAGTAAAAGGTATATTGTAGCTGTTTTATTTCCTTACGTATTAAAGAATAAAATTTCGCACTTTTACTTTTCCACTCAGTTATCAATGACTCTTCATTCCTTAAAGTAAAGCCAAAGTCAAAATTTCACATTTTGTTTAGAATTGATTGTCTCGAAAAAAGTCACCGCCGACTGTTCTTGACAAAGCGGAAGACCCCTTTTGGCGCACAAGTACACCACGTACGAAATTTCAATAAGACCTCTAAACAAAAACGTTTTAACGCCGCCCATACAAATTAAGTTTGTACGTTAATAAATTAATGAAAAAAATATCAAAAAAAGAACTCACACTGAACGATCAATCTTAACGCCGGACAATCCCTCAACATGCACATCACGGAAATTCAATTTCAAATTCAGTGAGCCGGTGCGGCCATCCGAAATGTCGAAGCGCTTCACAATGAAGGGTTCAATGATTGGAAAGCCCGCCGATGGGTAGCCGGTGCGCGCATACTGACGCACCAAACTCGCCGAAGTGCGCGTTATGCAGTCTGTATCGCCGGCGTGGCAGCGCTGTATGTCAGCGGCTAAAAGTGAAAACAACAAAATACAAACAAACATACATGAATATAATACGAAATGTTGTGGCACACATAACTGCAAGTATAAATCAAATGTGCCGCGGAGGCTGTAAAAATGTAGTGATTAAAGGGAACGTACGAAAATTGGAGCTGGCCGCCGAGATGAGCAACAGGCAGTTGCTGATGACGGTCGCAAGAACCAAACATTGTTGCACAGCGCACATTTTATTTATTTATGAATTTTTTGGCAATCGGTTGCTATGCGCCGCCTGACAACAAACGCTCGTGTTACTTATTTGATTTGCGCACTTATTTGCTGCGCGCACTGGATATAGGTAGACGCGGCGTACAAAACAAAAGACTTTAGCGACGAACTTGCTGATTTATTATATGCTCGTTTGTATCTAACGACAAGGGCGTGTGTACACTTTTGGCTAAATTCGTTACGCGACCATTTTTATTGTAAACTGCCGTTTGAAAAAAACAAAAAATTTTCAAATCCCAAAAAAAAATTTTTTTTTGCTTCTTTATTTTGTTTTTCCTATAAACGAAAAGTTGCAAAGCTTAACAGCCGCTGTATTGTTGCCACAATAGATTTTTTAAACTTATTCAACTCATCTATAGCTACTGCATTAAATTGAAATTACGTAGCGGCCTTACGTGGCACGTCGCGCACTCGTGTTGGGCTTAGCAAATATTGACGTTGGAATAAGTTTTTGCGAACTCTTGGCCGAGTTCAATGCTAAACTGTAAAACAGTTCTGGACAAACGCAGGCATTTATAATATTTTTTCGGTGGCTCCGCGCGGCTGCAAAGCCTTTGCGCTTTTGTTTCACTACTGCTTGTACGCTGGTGTTGTGTGCGTATGTTTGTATTTTTAGACTCGCTGTTATTGCTGTTGTAGTTCTTAACGTTCGTTTGTGGTATTTACTTTTAAGTCGCCTATTGAACGATACTACGACGCCAATAGCTATTTGCAAGCGCTCGCTATAAGCACACATTCACATGTCAATATAGTTACACACATATATATAATTAATATCAGCTAAGCCATTTGTTTGTGTGCGTAAAACTCTTCATCCAAATGACTAAACTGGCAGTTCGCCTTTACTCCCATATATTCTGTCCGTCCGTATGTCTATCCAGCGCGTTGACGCCAATAGCAGGCGTCAGCTGTATGCGCTACGCTGCTGCGCGCCTCTTCGGAACACTATCCATGTTCAAAATCATAAATAATTAGTATTATTAACAGGTCTAGAAACGCACAAAAAATTCTATAAATTTTTAATTGGCTCCTAGCAAGTTTTTGTTCTCACTTGAGTGTGTTTTCCTCTTTTGTTTTGTCATCGTCGAAATCGTCTTACATACAACAGCATACATACATACATACTTTCTTAGCCGTATAATCTGCGCTGCCGTCAATGTATAACTTCAGTGTCCATGCCAAAGTATTTAGCAGGAGTGCGAGCGTAATGCTGATTTTAGCGCAGAGATATTTCTGAAGGTACAAATGGGAGTGTGTGTGTTTGTGTGCTATTATTGGCAGTAAGTTGCTGCTTCTACCAATGCTATTATTTCGCCCCTTCAGCTCCTCAACTATTCATTACGCTCCACTTGCGATTATATTCTTTTGCGAAATGACTTGTAGAAAATGGCAAGAAGAAAACGACTAAAAAGGAAAAGAAACACGCTTTGTCTTCTAAAGTGTTTTATGGACTTGGTTTATTTATTATGTTTACTTTTTGCTCTTCCAGATAAAATTCTTTTTCATTTCAAGGTCAAATTAATTAATTTTGAGCACAATTTTAACCCACATTATTAGCATCGATATACAAATATACCAACGATATAAAGCGGAGATTTATTACATTGTTCTAAATTATTCCGAGAATATAAGATCTGATAAAGAAGAAACTCGTCACTTATTTAAATGTCAGATTTTTACTTGTATTTTTCAGATTTTCTAGGAGGCAGCCATTATTACCTCTCTCTGTCTGATACTTACTCATTGGATGGCGAGTTCATATTTTGTCTGCTTGCAGCGGTTTAATTTAATATTCATACTGTGTTAACTGTTTTGAAATGTGAGCAGTCGGCCCATACCGTCTCGTAGTCAGATGTATTGAATTTAATGATTTTCCTCCGTCCTAAAAACTTATACGAATATATGTATAATATATAACATAGTTTGACTTGGTATCAAAACTGATGGAAAGCGTAGTACTTGTAAAAATTTCCCCCATGACTGTAGCATTTATATAATGTATGGTATATATAAGTCAGTGTGTGTGCCAATAAAATTTAGTGGGTTCATTTCCATAATCATACATCATTTTAAATACAATTGCATAGATTCGATTATAATGGAAGCTGAATGAAATCGGTCTACATATTTCCCTAGATCTCTGATGACATATACACAAATTTTCGTACTTCAATACTTTCAATATTATTATTATTAGATAAATGCAAAAAAAAATCTTTATTATGAATAATCTTATACCCCTGTTTATTTTCAACTCCACTCAGTTGAAGCAATACAACTTTAGATCAACTTTTTTGAAATGAAGATTTGACAAATAATTAAACAGCTGAAAAATTTTAAACGAAAAATCAAAACAATTTAATTTAGTTATTGCTCCCGAAAAGGTGAATAATTATTGAAATATACATTCGTTTTGATTTATATTACGATGACAAAAATGTTTGGGCGAGAAAGAGCCTTCATGATCGCTCAAATGCATTCGAACTTCTTTACGCCAATTAAGCCAAAGTTTTATTGACAGTTAAATGGCTTTTAAATATTGTTTATTGCATATTCATATTTGCGTTTAAATGAGGAATCATTGTGTTTTTTACTAAATGAGATGAAGGAATATTATCACAAACTCTCCATTTCCTTGCTGCCGGTAATTATCAACCGGCAGAACACATTTTTAAATGATTTTCACTTTGTGCTGAAGCAGCCTACAATATACACATATGGTTGTTACAAAACTTTCTTTTAAACATTATGAACACCATATTTGTGTAGTGTGGATAAAACACCAATGACTGAAGAGGAGCAAAACGCTTCAAAAATTTGATTTTACTCAAAAAGTAAATTACTTGTATATTATACATTTTTTGATGGTTGTCAGAGTTGAAAACCGTAATACCAAAACAAGTTGAATTTTCGCCCGAAACTTAGACATTACTTACTTCTTTTGTATAAAGGTGTCGCCCTTGAAAGTGAGTGTTGAACTCCTCGAATCAAGAATCATCAAAACAAATTAAAGGGCATACGCGGTACTTAGGAAGACTTAAGCATTATGTAAGAGTCTTGAACATGTAATATTTATTCATAAAACTGACATACTTCTTGGTGCTACTTGAACTATGTAAACTACTTCAAGGAGAATTTGGTTTGCTCACTAGAAACACTAGATATCTATCTGTTCCACAGTTTTAACCCCTACGGGTATTTTGGTGTTCTACCAACTTCTTGCTGAAAGTGGCAGAAGCCGTTTCAGGCAGGACAGGATTCTAAGGCAGCAAAGAATGAAATCGGTAGATTTGAAGAATTACGTATCTGAGCACACAATTATTGTAATTCTAAGTTTTATAAGTAATTGAACCCTGTTAAAATGCAAGAATTTCTTGTTGATGAATTTGCTTTGAAAGGTACTTTAAATTAAGAGTATCTAGTGTATGCATACTTAGAAATTAGTTTGCAGGTGACGTCACGTGAAAAGTCCAATAATATTATATAGAAATTTAATATGTTAATGAAATTGCTGAACCCAATCAGAATACAATTTTCGCCTTTGCTGGATTTTCGCCTTTGATGATCTCGGTAATTTGTGTTACATATAATTCGGTTTAAACTTATTTAGGACATACTCTGAGGCAATTGTGTGATGCCGATGTCTATGTTACGGAATGATCTCTAAATTTTCTTCTGTAGGCCTAAGCTTTGATGAGGCAACAATGATTATCGCTGAAAGGGTATACAATATACTATACGGCTTTGACTAGAATGAGTTCAGCCTTACTTACAATAAGGAGATGAAAACCGCATGAATATTCATAAAGACATTACCATTTCGTATAAGTATATACTCGTACATACATACAAGTATATTATATATATTGTAAACCACTAAATAAATGTAAATCTCTCACATTTCTCATCACTTAAGTGCGAATAAATATGAATTATTCCCTAAGTCAATTGTCACTTTTACTAATTAAATCCACATGTCAAACAATCTGTTAGTGTAAGTGGATTAATTAGAGAAATGTTGAAAATTAATTAATTAGTTACGAGAAAGTGGGATTATAATTTTGCGTGAAAACTAATTTGCAATTAAGTATTTTATGCACTTAGCATTTATTTCAAGCTTTTCATTAAGAAATGCAGAATTAATGAAAGTTCTGTTATTACTCAAGTATAAAACCTTATAATTGAGATTTGATTGAAATTAATATTCATTAGCAAGAGGTTTGTAGTAGTAAGTTGGCAGTATCTTTTTCCGCAAACAATTTTGGGCATCATAATAAGACCCGTCATAAAATATGACGCAGAAACTTGTATATTCATAATTTCTGAGAGTTGAGTACTTATATTAAGCTCTGAGAGTGGTATATTAAGGTAGATGATTATTGAAAACCACTGATTCAAAAAATTTGTTAACTAGAAGGTTAATTGTTTCTAATTAATCCAATAGAAATACAGAGTTCATTTATTAACCTGTTATTAGTTGAATAAAATCTTTAATTATTTATATAAGATCCTTGCTTGCTAGAAAGAAGATAATCAAATCAATTCCAGTCTAATGCAATTATGGCTTTAATACCAATTAGTAGAAAGGTGCGTTAAAGATAGAAGATTTCTATAAAATTTTATATTTTGTAACAAGATACTCAACTACAATACTTTTTCCTATCCTTAGAGCTCCAGAAATTCGTCAAAACATAATAAAACAAAAACCTTTCACTGGTGCATTTTTATAGCGAAAAATATGTAAAAATTTCCGATCGTTCAGTTTGTATGGCAGCTATATGCTATAGTCGTCCGATCTGAGCAATTTGTTTGAAGTTTGTAGCGATGTCTTCGATAATAAACTTTGAAATATCGGAATCAAGTGATTGTATGCAAAAGTTTTTCATTTAAGGAGACAACTTCACAAAATTTGGCATCGATTATTGTCAAAAGAGATGGTGTAATCTCTGAATAAATTGTTCAGATCAATGTACCATATAGCTGTCATACAAGCTGACCGATCAAAATTAAGTTCTTGTAAGGAATGTACCGAAGTTAAAGTATTTGTTTTGACAAATTTTTCTCAATTTAACTCAAATTGCTTATACGGAATAATGGTGAAGCACTAAACGGAACTATTGAATAATACAATTTGTCAACAATGCGAAACTTATGTTTAATAATTCGTTCCGCCATATTACTATTTCTCTGCTATTGTAATTATTCACTTTTTATAAGGAAGCATCGAATAGCTGCTGACCGGAGATCTACAATTAAATACTTATTGTTGTTAAAATTAAGGTATATGTATGTGTTTTGTACCCTGTAAGAAAATTTACCACTTAGAATTTAGTATATATTATTAGATTTTACATACTTCCTATTCTATACTCTATTTAATTGTTTTTGTGACCTCTATGACAGTTATTATTTGTTTATGTTTCAATATTTGCTTTCATTATTTTTCTATTAGTATATGTATATAATATATTAAATATTTATATAAATTATAATATCTATAAATAAATATATGTATATACATATATATATTTCAATTTGAATTTTGTGTTTTTTTTTTTGTTTTGAACTGAATAGCTCTTAGAATGTTAATTTTTAAATTCGGTTTTATTTATCGTCATTTCGTTATTTATCTTCTTTTAGTTCTTCTTTATCTAGTATTGTTATTATTAAAAATAATAATAATATAATCGTATAATATAGATTAGTTGGTAGAGAGTAAATTTTTTCCACATGGTCTATACGATATACACATGGCTAAGTTATATTTAATTTAATATATACGCACTACCTGTGATCAATCAATCATTGCAATTTGCAAATGCTCAAAAATTGA